CTGATTTTCTGTTTGATTCAAAAAGGAATTAAAACACAAACAAAGAAGTAAAAAATCTCAGTCAATCAAGTGTAAGTCCACAGGATGTAACGGGAATAACACATTTCTGAGTGATGTCCTCAACATGTCCCAGCGGGACCATTTCCTGAAGTTCATAACTTCCTTATAATTTGCTTCCATTTAGTTCTTCTCAGTTGTAAGAAACCAAATCCCCCGTCTCATCACTCTCCTTTGGTTTGGGGAGCAGAACAATATTGGCAAGGCATTAAAAGATATCTCTCAAAACACTGTCCCCATTTTGTGCAACACTATCATTAAGATCCAGAGTGTAATAAAGTTAACTATTCCCCCCAGAGAAATAACACATTGAGGTTTTATGAAAGGCGTAAACAGTTGCTATTAACCAGATCTTCTAGGAGGATGCCCCTTGTTTACATGCTCCCTCGCTGTCGGCAATTGCCCCGGCGAGGGCAGCAAAAAGTGAGCTTTGATGATATCCAACAAAACTGTTCTCACAATTGTGATGACACACAAGAGCAATTTCTCAAAGTGACGATTAGTAATTATCATTTTCCTTGCCTTGCTATAAATCTGAAATACTATGCTGCAGTGGTTTCATTGTTAAAATGTTGCGTTGCATTTTTCATTATTATTGTAATTATTATATTATTCCCAATGATTCCGAGTTCCGTTTAAACATCCTCTTTTTGTGTTTATTTTTCTTCCAGGTAACGATTCTGCGTTCCATGACATCGACAGCGACACGTCTTTAACCAGCCTCAGCGACTGCTTCATGGCGTCGTCAGAAGTCAGCTCCATGCAGGCCCGTGTGGGGAACCCAATCGATCGCCTCTACTCCATGCAGAACTCTTACTTTGCATCGTGAAAAAAGCGGGACTGAAAACATCAAAGCATCAGCACAGGAAAAAAAAGAGAGCGAGAGAAAGAAAGAGAGAGAGAGGGAAAAAACTGCCCATTTCCAACTAAAGCACGATGGTCAGGAGTTTCTACACTACTATGGACACGACGGAAGAAACACCCACTTTGCAGTAGCTCCTGGCTGTGTCCCGAAGCGTACTCAAAGATTGTAAAACCACTTGTAGGGGAGAGAGAGAGGAATCGAGGGGAGTTAAATTTTGTTAGAGATTATTCGGTAGAATTGCATATTCATCACAGGAGGAGTTTCTACTCTTTCCTTTGTTTACTTAAAGAAAATGACTAGATACTGAAGCTACTGATTACACACCCCTAAACCAAATAACACAGTCAGTTTATACAGTGCATGATCAATTGTAAACTAATACTTTTTGTAAGCCCCCCAACTCTCTCC